TCAATGTTACATTACGTAGAGAATTTAACTGCACTTTAACTGTAAATGTAAAACTAGAAGCATGATGAAGAAGTTTAATGCTTCTGTACAATTGATGGAGTTTAAGGCCAATTTTTGTCGGATTTAATAGCTCAATAGGGATGAAATGTGGTATTTTATGTGCGCTAAGAAATTTCCTTTCGTATTATATTGTTAAGGAACATATTGCATACGTCTTAAACCAATTCACTTGATGATAATCTTTAACTTTTTCTGTCGTATAATGGATTTTTTAATAGAGGAAAGATTTTCAACTGAGAAATCTTAATTATATTGTCGATTTGTTTCGTGTATCTCACTAATAGGAGTCTTAAAAATTGCGTAATGGGCTAAATTTACAGGCGAAAAATTCGCAAAAATTATCACCTCGAACATTAAAATTTTCTTTTTTTTTTTTTTACAAATACAACATCTAAAATAATTATAGATAAAACTATTAGGATCGTTACCGGAGGGTCAAATGTTCCATCATTATCAATCAAAAGCTGCTAGGAGATGGCAACACTTGCTTCTAGGTAGTAAAAGGCGACCTTTAACGACCAACAGGGGAAAACGTTAGCATTGGAGCATGAAAACTCACAAAAGAAAAACTGTATAGAGTTTGTACCGTTCGTTAGAGCTTGGATTAAAAGATAACTTATCTCTGATGTACAGAATTTCAACAATGAATGACAAAGAATAAGTCACGTGTAAGACTGTACCCTTAGGTATAACACTGGAAAAATTGTTTCAGAGAAAATTTTAATCCTGCTAACGCTTTAAAATTCGATACAAAAATGCCAAAACTTATAATTAAGGGAGTTTAAATGAATTTATCGATTAGAAATACATCCTATACACGTTTAAGTGTCTTTTCTTTATATTGTAGACTCTTGTGTGGGTTTATAATGTTGACTTAGCCTTGCGTGGGTTGTTTACTTGTGGGCCGTGTTGTATTTTTTGTTCTTATACATTCTGTGAAACAAAATAGTCGATAAAACAAATTTAAAAATCTTTAAGAATATCACAAATTTTCATTAAGTAACATATTTGGTGACAAGTGAATAAAAATACTGGAAGATTTATATAGTAAGAAAGGTCGATAAATATTACACACTTTACGAAGAAAGGAAAAATACAACGCGACAAGATAATGCTGCTTCTACAAATATAATAAAATTGTAAAGAAGGAAGCGAGATGGCAAATATTATCGGAAACTATAACGAAACTATAAAGAATGAGGAAACTGGAAAGCATCTACATTCGTGGGTAATTAAACTATAAAGAATAAAGAAACTGGCAAATTCTGTAGATGTAAAACTGTAAAGAATGAAGTAATCTTTCATGTCTATAGAAATTGCCAAACTTCCTCATTCCTTGAAGTTTTACATCGCAGAATTTGCCAGTTTCCTCATTTATTGCAGTTTCACATCGCATTTTTTGCCAGTTTCCTCATTTATTGCAGTTTTACATCACAGAATTTGCCAGTTTCCTAATTTCTTACAGTTTCACATCACAAAATTTGCCAGTTTCCTATTTTATTGTAGTTTCACATCGCATTTTTTGCCTGTTTCCTCATTTATTGCAGTTTTACATCACAGAATTTACCAGTTTCCTCATTTATTGCAGTTTCACATCGCAGAATTTGCCAGTTTCCTAATTTCTTACAGTTTCACATCACAGAATTTGCCAGTTTCCTCATTCCTTACGGCTTTACNTGATGTAACTTTTTTAAAAAAAATATATATATCATTAAAGCCTTTTTTTTCTCTTTCTTTTTCATTTTAAATTTTATCAACATTAAAACTCATTCGTGAACGAGTAGAATAAGCAATGAATTCATTTTATGAAGAGAATCGTATAAAAGGACATTTGGTGAAATACCCTTGGGTGCCATTTATTCGTGTTTCAATCAAAGATTATTTTCGCATCACAAATTTACATTCATTATCTTCTACGTCAATGGTTATCTTCTGTAGTATTCTGATGAAGCTTTTAAAAATAATAATAATAAAAAAAGAAAGTATTTTCGTATTCTGTTCTATTTTCTTTTAACAAAATTCTAATCCTTAATCTCTTACATGCCGCCATTTCTTCTTCTTCTTCTTCTTTCTTTCTTTCTTCCTCTTTGCAACTTTCGAATTCCATTATTGTAATTTGTTTTATTCATTTTTAAAGATTTTTTTTCCCTCCTCTTCCTCTCCGCTTCTGTTTTCTTAAGTATCGAAATACAGTTAAGTGGATTTAAATAAAACTTTCCAGATTTTATTTCCTTACTTGTAAACATATTGCGAGAGGATTGAATAATGTTATTAATTTTGATTTTTCCCCCCTGTTTTATATAAATATAACTAAATTATTCCGTGACGAATTTTTTAAATGTTTATTTCAGCGAAATTTTCTTTTATTTATACACTTTTTTTATTGATCCGAACGGCTTTGTATCGGAAAATACACTTTACTGTAAACTTATAAACAAGATCCCGCTGCTGTTTTGCTTTTGAATTAAACTAACTTTACGTACAAACACAAAATATGAATGAAGTGTACTTTTTTTTATATATAAATAAAGTATTAAACACGGCTTCAATACAATTTATATTTAACTACATCCAATTTTATCTAGTCTGTAATTGATTTTTATACATTCAAATTAGGTTCGGTTAGGTTAAAGTTAGTTTAATCTGGCAACTTCATAACTTTCACAATTCCATTGCATTGTTGCCAGATTAAACATCTTATTTTTTCAGCTAATGTTCGGGTGTTGCCAGGTTACAGATGCTCGGCATTCCGGATGTCTCGCGGTAACTTGTTTTTTTTTTGTCTTGGATGTAATCAGACGGTTGATGTCATAATGGCAAATTTTATTCATTTATATCATAAATTGTAAAAAAAAATGCAAGAAAAAATAATCCCTAGAACTTTCTAAAATTAATATTCCTCATTGTTTCAATCGTTAAATGCACAATAAATTTTTTTTTTAAAAACTTTCTTTTACGTCGTTTTTTTCGTTTATAAATGAATTGTTTTTGTATAATCTTTCAGTAATAATCCATACTACATATATGACGCTATTAAGGCATAAGCCTTAATTCTGAGGGGCTTGAAATCGAAATTCCAGGAATTTTTCGGGAGATTGATCTGTCGGGCTCGTCTCCTACAAGTAGCATTTATTGTTTAAAATTTTCTATTTTTCTAATTCTATTAGTTATTTTTGTAAATAAAAGTGAACAATTGAGTATGAGGCCCACCAGTGAACGAGTAGATTGGTCTCCTAATAGTCGGTCGCTGGTTGGATCTCACCAACAGGCGCTGGTTGCGCGGAGTTTTAGGTGTTATTTACGTGTCTAACACTTAAATAGGAGCCAGTTTCCAATAGAAAGTCCTCTCGGGGGTTACTCCTTCCTTGTCAGATCATCCTTGTGTCACGTTGCCTTATCCTACCAATCCTACAGTCCTATTCTCAGATTATAGTCGCTGTGGCTGAATTAAAAGCGAATTTTTAGGATAAAATATATATTTTTTTATTTTCTTTCATGCAAGTATTTCTGCTAATTTCTTATAAATAACTGGAAAAAAAGTCAAAATTAAAAATGCATAAAGCAGTCTAGACAGTAAATTGCACGTTATTGATTGACTAACCTCAAGTGCCATCGTATTTAGATTATATAGCCGGAACAATTATGCCCATTATGGGGACTGACCCACAATGGGGTCAACTAATATGTCCGGGGAATGGGAAACAGCATCCGTGTTCGTAATAAATAATGGAATCTGGACTAAATTCCAATTCAAATCCCCAAAGCAGCAGGCTAACACCTGGTCGACAAGTGGCACGTTGTTATCATATGCTGCGTTTAGATTGCATAGTTTATACGTCACTAACATGAAAAATAATCCGGCCGGACGGCTCAGGCGGTTAGTTTGTCAGCCCATGTCCTGGGGGACTCGAGATCCAATCCGAGCGAGCAAGCAACCCCATGAATTTTTCATGAGCGAACATGCCGGCCCCGTCCTTTACCCCATCGAGGTCCTGGCCGAATTGTTGGTAATGGGTGTCCCTCGTAATTATTCATTTGTACATATGCCATTAAGTTATAATCTAATTATATAATGCGCACATCACTCGCCGTAGACGTCCAGGATATTGTAAATGGCACATTATACGCATTTTATCAAATCACAAAATCAAAACTAGACTAAACGCACACAAACTGTGGGTGTGTAAATGACAGGTTGCAACTATACGCATCATTTACATAACTGGAGTTGTCAGTTTAGGTTAAACAGTCGTTGCAACCTTAAACACTAAATATTTATTAACTGCACACTTCAAACTAACATTAAAACTTCACATTTAGCCATCATGCATCATTTCTATGATCTGATACGTGTACGAATTCAACTACAACAGATTTGTATCGCTACAAGGGATCAATACAAAGCCACTAACTCATAAAATCGATAAAATAAAAAAAAAAAGTTATTGAAGTAGAAACGTTAATAAAAGAGTTTTCATTCTCACAATTTTCTTTATAGCTTAGTTATCAAATTATACAAAAGAAAATAAAGTTTATAAGTAATTCCTTTAATAATAAACTCTATTTTCTAGTTATGTTATGTATTCAAGTACAGTAGAGTGTCATTTATCCAAATCAATTGGGGACTGGGATTGTTCGGATAACTTATTTTTCGGATAACCGATTATGTACGAAAAAATATATTAACCTATCCCATGTTAAAATTTTTCTCTATTGCATGTTGCTTCACGTTGAATTTTCGTCAATGTTAAGTCTAACATAAATTTTTTAAAATAATAATTGTGGCTATTGTATCATTAAAAAATTATTTCTTTATTTTGTACAAACAAAATAAATATATTGAAAAATATAAAAACAAAAAAGTAATTTTGGAAGTTAATCTAGTATCAAAAACGTTCGATTCGATGACACAGTCCAACTGAAATGCTTTTGGTTAATGAATGTTTCGGTTGATCAGCTTTCAGATAAATGACACTCTACTGTATATGTAAGTTTAAAATTTCAAGTTTCTTACCTTTTTTTTATATTCTGCAATAGCAGCCATATTAGGTGTCATTTTCTGTAAACTTTCCTCCATTATTAATAATTCATACTTAACTGATTCTGAATCAACATTCATAAGTTCTTCAGAATCTAATTTTGGTAACTTATCTGGGACTTCATTATCAACTTCTTGTAATTTTAAATTATCTAGCTAATTTAAACATTAAAAAAATCAATAAGAATGAAATTCTTATTCGTTTTACATTCAATAAGTAATAAAACTACCTGAGAAGTCCAGTGTTTTATCTTGGCATTGCTATCTTGAACTTTTGCTTTACATCTATCAAGTTCATTTTTAATTTCAATGTGATCACTATTCAATTTGTTTTCCTTTTCTTTTAATTGTTTTATTTCTTTCATAACAATCTGCATCTTTTCTTCGCATTCTTCTTTAGATTTCTAAATGTATGATTTAATAAATGAAGAAATAATGTTTTAGATTTCAAATAAGAAAAGTCAACAAGAAGTCAGTTTTAATTAATAAACATTATACAAAGGAGTAACAAAATAGAATTTTTGTAACATTAACGCAGATAATTGTATAAAACAAATTAATATTGGCAACAAAACTGATTTTAAGTAAAACCAATTAATCTGTTTCCAGAAAAACTAAAAACTGATTTTAAAGCAGGCAATGAACTTTGTCTCACTTTGTTTACTTGTCTTTTTGACTTTTAGTTGACTTTTAGCTTGAATTTACGATAATTCCACAAAACTGTTATGCTACTGGAAAATGTCATTGTAACATTACAATTTGTACAAAACATCAATTTATCATCCTTGACTTTTTTTATATAATATCATGCATTAACTATGTCTAAATTTTTAAATCAAAATTAAAAATCAGCATGAAATAATTTTAAAACAATAAAGTTTTCAAATGCTATTTGTTAAACACTTGTCAAACATTCCAGTATTTACCAACATCAAAGAAACACTGACCTCTTTTTTGCAAAAACATGAGATATAGGCATATTTGTGAGTTTTACAAGAAGAGGGTCAGACATGCAGGTTTCCAATTCAATCAAAACTTGGTGAGCATTTAGCCCTATAAACAAAAAGTTCCTTGTTCAAATAATAGGACCCACTTCTCAAGCATTTCTGAAAAACAGACCTCTGAAAATTGAGTGTCTAGCTTATAAGTCTTTGGAAGTTTCTCATCATGTTGCTAGCTAAGTGGATAAGATGCTAGGCACTGGATCCACAAGACAGTTCAAATCTTTGTAATTTTAGTTTTTTTATTTATAATAATTATTTTACTGTATCATTAGCATTTTCTGTGTGTGTAAATATTTCTGGATCCCTTTTTCTTCTCTGGGATACATAAATTTATTTCCAGGCTTAATGGGATTTTTGGGAGTGGTGTCATCTTTATTAGGCATGATTCCCATTGTAGATGTGTCATACAAGCTAGTATCCAGTTAGTAATATGAGTTACCACCACTTAAAAACAAACCGTACTACTTCCATAGTTTGATCCAATTATTATTTTGTATATTATATAGTTTTAAATGTACTTGCTACAATGGAATCTTTACAGTGATAAAAAAATAACAATCATTAGCATTATTATTACTATTATTATTCCTCATGTTTAAAGCTTATAAAATAAGAGATTAAAAATTTGTGATGTCATTTCCTATTTAACAAAAAAAAAAGTCTCTCTAAATTAAATTTTTATATTGTTAAATAAAATTTTTATTTTTTCATATTTATTCTCAGATATTTTCACTGAACATATGAAGAAAATAAGCTTCAGACATTCAGCGAAAATATCTCAAAATATTAAGTTTCAGACGTTACTGCATAAGGATGAAAAGGGAAAGTCTGATATGAAAATAGGGTAGTACAGTTGCAGAATTTTTTTAATTGTTAATGTTATTGACAATTTCTCCATGTGCTCATGTTTGTTACACTTCAAATATAACAATACCACCATATTTGAAAATAAATATGAAGAAATAGAAAAAAACAACTAAAATTGCAAAGATTTGAACTTTTATCATGTAGATCCAATGGCTAGCATGTTATCCACTTGGCTATTGGCATTCTAAGGAGATGCAAAATTTCCAGACTTATAAACAACTCACATTTGACATATTGGAGTCCTGGATGTATGTGTTGCACATTTGCATTTTGCCTGTCACCATATCTGTGTTGTTTCCATTCCATTTTAATTTCACCTGATACATGACAGAGTAACCAAACTTTAAATGGGGGAAAGCATAAACTTTGAGTAGTTCACCTAATGAAGAGATATGGTGTAAATAAATTTTAAAACAGAATAAAACAAATTTGACAATTACAAAATAAATAAACTACCACACAGCACTTAAAAGTAATGCTATGCAATGGTCAATAAAATTATCATAAAATGTACAGCTCAATTCTGACTGAATCATTACCAACCAACCAGCCAACCATAAAATGTACATTTTTAGTTATTACAATGATACAATGATCAAGTGTCAGTTTGTTTTAATGTACTAAATTTCTCTTGCTAGGAAAGCTAAGTTCTGAAGAAATCTTTACCAAAATCTTTGGATAAACCAAGCCACTTGCTACAAAATTCAGCTGTAGATGATTTGTATCCTTTTGTGTGGTTAAGAGTTAAAAATTGGGTTATTAAGACAAAGTGTCACCATATTCTATCTTTGGCCATGAACTAGGATCCTCTAAGAATAAATTTGAATCATCTTTGTACAAATTAAGTCCACTATACGTTAAAATTTCACTTCTGTACCACTTGACATCCTGACTAGTAAAAGTCGGTAAATAACTAGTAAAAAAATCTAGTAATGAGTTGCATAACTTTCCTGGCCATTATAAGATCTNCCGATTTGCATAGGTTTTATTCGTATAAGGCAATGCGATACACGGGCGATCAACCGAAGAGGAAATACTTCCCGGGAGGTCTTATAAGAAACTGGCCCCTCTTTAGGTGTTACTAACGTAAAGAAAACTCGAAAAACTCCACGTGGCCAACCAGTTGGAGAGGCTCGAACCCATGACCCACAAAGTGTTTGTTGGTTTTATCCACTCAGCCACTGATGGGCTAATATCTTCAATAAGAAGACTCACAAAATAGGTAGTGATATCAATTACTAAAACAAAAAGAATGCCGGAAAAATCCGGCAACAACGTTGCCAGCTTTCTTTACCCGTATCTTTCATTTGTATTCATTAGTTTCAAAGAAACAATATGGCGTACTCTGTAAAAGTTACTTGGAAATTTCTCAAATTTTAAAACTAGATACAAAATTCAATAAAAGTTTCCGAAGAAGAATGGGAAGTAATGAATGGATAGTATTATCTGAATGGGTAAAAGAGAAAAGAGTAATCATGAACAGAAAAGATAGATAGTCTGTAACTTGTGAGCTGGTTGTGTGTGCAGTCGACAGGAAAATAGATTCTGTAACAACGTTGAGCATGCATGGCTGCTTTCCTGCTGGAAACGAGAGATTGGTAAACACGTTGAATGACTCATGAAACTTAGGAGACGGGTTTTAAAACGAAATTTTTAGCGAATTGTGTCAACATACCAGATACTAAAAGGTGATACCTCCTATCGATTTTCGTACTAGACAAATCGACTAAAGATTTCTTTTATAACTTTCTCGGTGCATATAGTTGACCTTAATTCTGTCTTAGATATCTAAATGGAATGTGTTATATAGTTTGGGTACGTGTCTGTGTGTGTGGGGGAGGTGAACACGCGTAGAATAAGAAAGAATCAATGTTACATTACGTAGAGAATTTAACTGCACTTTAACTGTAAATGTAAAACTAGAAGCATGATGAAGAAGTTTAATGCTTCTGTACAATTGATGGAGTTTAAGGCCAATTTTTGTCGGATTTAATAGCTCAATAGGGATGAAATGTGGTATTTTATGTGCGCTAAGAAATTTCCTTCCGTATTATATTGTTAAGGAACATATTGCATACGTCTTAAACCAATTCACTTGATGATAATCTTTAACTTTTTCTGTCGTATAATGGATTTTTTAATAGAGGAAAGATTTTCAACTGAGAAATCTTAATTATATTGTCGATTTGTTTCGTGTATCTCACTAATAGGAGTCTTAAAAATTGCGTAATGGGCTAAATTTACAGGCGAAAAATTCGCAAAAATTATCACCTCGAACATTAAAATTTTCTTTTTTTTTTTTTACAAATACAACATCTAAAATAATTATAGATAAAACTATTAGGATCGTTACCGGAGGGTCAAATGTTCCATCATTATCAATCAAAAGCTGCTAGGAGATGGCAACACTTGCTTCTAGGTAGTAAAAGGCGACCTTTAACGACCAACAGGGGAAAACGTTAGCATTGGAGCATGAAAACTCACAAAAGAAAAACTGTATAGAGTTTGTACCGTTCGTTAGAGCTTGGATTAAAAGATAACTTATCTCTGATGTACAGAATTTCAACAATGAATGACAAAGAATAAGTCACGTGTAAGACTGTACCCTTAGGTATAACACTGGAAAAATTGTTTCAGAGAAAATTTTAATCCTGCTAACGCTTTAAAATTCGATACAAAAATGCCAAAACTTATAATTAAGGGAGTTTAAATGAATTTATCGATTAGAAATACATCCTATACACGTTTAAGTGTCTTTTCTTTATATTGTAGACTCTTGTGTGGGTTTATAATGTTGACTTAGCCTTGCGTGGGTTGTTTACTTGTGGGCCGTGTTGTATTTTTTGTTCTTATACATTCTGTGAAACAAAATAGTCGATAAAACAAATTTAAAAATCTTTAAGAATATCACAAATTTTCATTAAGTAACATATTTGGTGACAAGTGAATAAAAATACTGGAAGATTTATATAGTAAGAAAGGTCGATAAATATTACACACTTTACGAAGAAAGGAAAAATACAACGCGACAAGATAATGCTGCTTCTACAAATATAATAAAATTGTAAAGAAGGAAGCGAGATGGCAAATATTATCGGAAACTATAACGAAACTATAAAGAATGAGGAAACTGGAAAGCATCTACATTCGTGGGTAATTAAACTATAAAGAATAAAGAAACTGGCAAATTCTGTAGATGTAAAACTGTAAAGAATGAAGTAATCTTTCATGTCTATAGAAATTGCCAAACTTCCTCATTCCTTGAAGTTTTACATCGCAGAATTTGCCAGTTTCCTCATTTATTGCAGTTTCACATCGCATTTTTTGCCAGTTTCCTCATTTATTGCAGTTTTACATCACAGAATTTGCCAGTTTCCTAATTTCTTACAGTTTCACATCACAGAATTTGCCAGTTTCCTCATTCCTTGCAGTTTCACATCACAGAATTTGCTAATAATGAAGCATACTGAAAAATTCCGTAGATATGAAACTAAAGAATGAAGAACTAACAAATTTTACACGTAATGAAACTACAAATAATACAAAAAAAAAAACCTGACAAAACATTAGTAAACAGAA